AGACACCCCTTCAATGTGCTGCATATCACACACTTTTAATGCAATTAGTTACTTATTTGTTCAGGAGGTTTGTTACAGTGGTGTCTTTATCTTTTGATAGAACTGCATCAATAAAGGGGACAGTGACACCTCAAGGTCACCACGTGTACATGTTGACTTGACGTTTTGCGTCACCCTCCAGGCTTATAAAAAGGAAAACACGTCAGCACTCAAACACAGTCGAATTTTTTTTCTTCTCTAGACGAAAACAGGTATGTTTCACATTTCATTTGCATCACTCCTAGAACTGAAAAAGCTGAAAAGGGAAGTACTGTATTTATCCATAGTTAGTTAACATAAAGTTGCTTATCTATTAATAGTGATGTAATGGCGACACCTGCTGTGTTAAAAGTAGTAAATATGCAAAAAACAAAACAAACAACAAAAAACATAATTTGTACAATTAAATGACGAACTTAGTTGGAAACGGCGCTTTTAGCTGTTAGTTATTGATTGTAACTGGACGTTAAGGGAGCTGTCCAGTCGCTGTGGTGCTGACGTGCAGTGGCGGTATTTTTGAAGACTAATAGATTTTTTATTGCTCTCACTTGTGTGCATGACATTTAGCGCAAATTAACTCTCCGTCCTTCTTCCTCACAGAGTCACAGCCAAGATGAGACTGTACCTTGCGGTTGCCGTGCTGGTGCTGGCTTTTGTCGCATACACAGGTAGGCTACGTTTTGTGTTAATTACGCACTTAAAACGCGCCGGCTATGTTTTTATTCCTTCTTACATGTCGTGTAACTCTCTGTCACTGTCCATCGCAGAGGCTCAGGAGGAGACCATAGAGCAGAGGTTCTCTAAGTTTGGCGAACAGATGACCCAGTTTGGCGATGACCTGGCTGAGAAAACCAAGGCTGCCATTACACAGATCCAAAACAGCGACTTTGCAGTGAGCTCAAGGTAGGCGCGCGCACTCACCAAAAATAGTATATGCGAATATATTCACACGCACACTTTGACCCTTTGTAACTCATTGAAACGCATTTGTAACGGTTTTACTCTCCTCCTCAGGAACTGGTTCCAGGAGCAAATTGAGAAGCTGAGGAACAAGTTCGGAGAAGGCACCCAGTAAACAAGTAGACCTGTGCCTACCACCACCATCACCACCTCTGACCTCTTCACTCTCTCATGTTGGGTTGCTGATATGTCACATGACACATTACTCTGCTGACCAGACACAATGCTTACATTGCCTCCTCATTTTAAGGAGATGTTTGTTTTCATTTGTGCGTAATCTCTTTGAAGAAAACAATGTGAAAAAGTGCAATAAAGACATCAGAAAATAAAAAAAGTTTTATTTTATTTTTATAAATCCTATGTTAGCATCAGTATTTTGTCAATGTAAAGAAAACAACAACTTCCTATTAAATATGTTTGATATCAATAAATGAACAGTTCTGGTCAATTACAGTATGGCCTCCATATGTTACATAAATCACTGATATTAAATCCCTTCCTAACATCTATAATAAATAGGGTTAAAAACTATCAATGGGTTGAGATTATTTTTAAAGTAATTTCTTATTTTTTTCTGTAAAGAAATGTTGGTTTTCTTCTGTTTTGTTACAAGATATATATATATTCTGAATTCCGTAGACAAGGTAAACTTTACAGAAGAAAGTGGGATGAATACATCAACAGATTAATTTATTCATTTAATACATTCAGTTTTGTGGACAGAAGTTCCTTGCTTTGCACTTTCTTACATTAAACACCTATCTTTCTTAATACTAATTAAGAGATTAGATAAGATACAAGTAGCCTATACCAAGTAGGTTTCGTATGCAAAAGATTTCCCATTGGTACTTTGGTGCATAAAGGTCACAATAAACATAGCAGAAAAAAAGAAAATGAAACAGATACTGCAAGTCCAGAATCTTACACATAAAATATTAATAAAATAGACATTTACAATAAAAATAGGTATACTGTATCTGTTTTAAAATGAAATGAGCTGTGTTTAAAACAAAGAATGTAAAAGCTAATCCTAACCAAATTGGAGGGTTAATTTGAGATGAACATGAACACTGTTGGAGTTGGAATATTAAAATATTAAAATGTGCCTTTCCTCAGAAATAAAGGCTTCCAGGTTTGCAGTTCGTTATTTAAACATGTCTCCTCATGCAGTCCCAGAACAAACAGTGTTATATTAAACCTATCCTAAAAACCTAAACCTGACATGCATATAATCAAGTCCTTTTAGTACTTTAACATACTAGTAAGATATTAAATATAATGTCTTGGTGGAAAGCTAAGAAATGCTGAGAATGGATGTAGAAAGTGCAGGTGCCTTTGCATATTTTCTGTAGCTGAAGTTCTGTTGATGCTGTATTTCTTTGTAACATCTAGAGAGGTATTATACTATCAATTCCTGAATTTCAAAAACAAGTTTGCCTTTTCACAGTTTACCAAACAACCAACCACTGACTGATCACAATGCAGTTAATATACTGTACTTTGACCAAATAATTATTTCAGACATGGGTCAATATCATATTGAACAGGCGCTAATGCTGATCATCTGATCGATAATAGTTTATTTGTGTTAATAGCATGGACCAAAGGGCAAGTGCCAACAGGACTGATTTTCTGGCATTTCACAACTCCTGGGCTAAAGTCACTGTTTATGCTGGGTTAATAATCCACCAGCTGTCCCAGTTCACTCAGATATGTTCCTGTGGAGAGATCAGGGCCGGTATTTATCAAGCTTCTCAAAGTGCCATTTTAGTCTTAAGTGCTGAGAATTCATGAAATTTAATCCTACTTTTAAACTTAAGAATAAAAGCAAATTATCAAATTTCTCAAAGCTAAGAATCACTCTTACTCTACCAGTTATTTAAGACAGCTCGAGAGGTCTCTCAGGTGGTTAGGAGCTGCCAGTAGGGGCTTGTGATGGCACTGTGGAGACAGAGACATGCACAAATCTTTCAGGAGAGGAAGAATGTTTCTGAATTATTTGACGACGCGCAGTGAATAAGAAGGGGTCGGACAGCGCAATCATAATCTTTGTCAGCGAGTTGGTGAGGGACGTCATCTCACCACTGACTTTACACAGTAATGCGTTTTAGTTAAATTGAAGGGTTGTGATGATGCTTTGTTTATTATTTATTTATAGCACTTAGGCTACAGCTCCACACACTGTCATGCGTTTCATCGACTTACCAACAACACCCCCCTAAAAAACAGAAGCAACCACAATTCATGCAACTAGCTGGCTTCCTAGGAGCAGTAGGTGCAATTGATGGCACTCATATAAAGATCAAGTTTTTTATCTTTCATTTCCAATGTGTAGGTGGCCTATGTACATAATGTATTCTCTTAAAAATTCTTAATTGTCAATTGTCTGTTGAATATAAACTTCTTAGTGAATTTATCTGAGAATTTATCTGAGAATATTCTTAAATAAGAAAATCTATTCAGTGATTGGTCCTTGCCCACATCCTCATCCAAAATCCTGTTTGCGGCACAGCAAAGTGTAGTAAATCAGCACTAAGACTACTACACTTCACTCAAATTATGACTATGATGCTTGATAACTAACTTCAAGCACATCTTTGAGCCAAGACGTTTTTTACTCTTAAGTCAATTCATAGCAGTGTTCTTATGAGTAGTTCTGAGAAGCTTGATAAATATGGGCCGAGAGTGACAGAAGTCAGCTACTGGTGCACAGAGCAGCAGTCTTTAAACTAAACACTTTCACTTCGATTAGTTTAAGATGTCATAAATAAAATAAATTAAATTGTAAATTAAATTAAAAATAAAATAAATTGTAAATTGTCACTTCTTCATTAGTCAGTGAGCCTTTACGTTAATAACACAATTCACACTGTGTTAAGACAAGTTCATACTTCAACTGTTGGATTTGGAGGAAAACCTACTTCCTGAATGGCTAAATTAAAAGCAACATGACCCTAAGAGCAAAAGGTTTTGACTTGCGTTCAACCACTCCCTTGCTAAAAGACATCACAAAGCTCTTAAATGAAGGGGCACTATCATTTTCAAGCTTTATACAGTATATGTTTACATTATATTTTAAAGTTTAACACAATTGTATAATAAAAAAGCCCTGAATGCCTAGATGCTTTCATTTAAATATGACTTTAAAATAAATGTTCTGTGATTTATGATTATTCAAATGTATATCTTTTATAACACATATAACTTTTCTAATGCACAATGGGGGGCTGAAGTCATGTCAGGGACAGACACACACACACACACACACACACACACACACGCATACACACACAATAACTCTGTAGCACAGTGCAGATGTTTAAAACCCAACACATAAATTAAAAACAAAAATCTTGATCCCCGTCTGTTTAGACAGCTGTGAGATCAGGCTTGTAAGTGCAACTTAGTTATGAACTCTAATGTGAACATTATTGTTTAGCTGTTCCCATTAAGAACATGTTGCAAGCACAGAGCTGACAAGTACTGACAAGATTAAATTGATTTTGTGGTGGACTCTGCCCGCAAAAATGCTTTGCTTGGCTGAAAATGTTTATCTATTTCACCCACCTCCTGTCTTTACCAAAACCCCTATCTCCCCTGCAAAACAGAGACTTTGACTAGCCTGTATACATATCAGCCCCCGCCAAACAGGTTGAGATATTTGATCCAAAGGGCGCCCGGACAGTTACTGAACTCAGCTAATGTTGATCTTGAAAAGATATCAAGAGTTCAGGATCTGCAGATGTGACAGTGTCTTAACTTGGATACCGACATTAACTTTGTAATGCAGCTAACATTTAACTTAGAAAATAAAAACAAATCGCATAAGTATAGGTGAGGGATGAAACAAGTGAGCAGTAGCTCTCATGTGACTCAAAGGAAGATCCAACATCACATAAGATCAGGATGTATTTATTTTTGCTCTTTATTCTCTCCTTTAATTATTATCATTTTTAAATATATATTAGCTCTGTGCTTATTTTTTTTTTTTTACTTCTTAATGACTACAACACTACATGCATCAACTGTAAGGATGAAAATGAGTGTTGAATGCTCCATGGAAACCCTGTTTAAAAAAAGAGAAAAGAATTCATGAATTTTCATTATACATAATAACTTTAAGTCCCTGCTAAAACCCTCTGAAAACGTACATTTATGAATACTGTACAACTTTATCTAATTTTCTCTTAAGTTTTTATAGGAAAGGAAAGAGTCAATACATAAAAAGCTGATTTTTTTTCATGTTTTGGAAATCTTATAAAAAGACTTAAAGAAAACCTATTGCTTTGCTGTCTCTAAACGCTTGTTGTTGTTGTTCATTTTTCTATGCATTGTCTTAAAACTTTTTTTTACGGAGTAAAAGTGTGTGTATGTATAAGTTATATGCATAATATTTAATATAAACACATGTATGTATGTATGTATATGCATATGTTTAATTATTTACTTCTTGCAAGTGTCCCTAATGATGCTTATGTTTTGAATTATATACTTTTTGCTTGAAAAGTAAAATAAAATGTTTTTATTAATAAATAGTTAATCTGTGTGCACACATATTGTTTTCTTATTTGTGAGAATATAAAAACAGTCTAAGAGGAGAAAATAGATCCATACTTTGAGTTTGCTTGTAACATTGTAGTCAATGACCCATTTCTTTGCTTTCTCTCAGATGTTCGTCAGTAGAACGAAGTAATGAAGCAAAGAAAAAAAGAACACGACCATCCGATCTGGACCAATGTACACGCTGTTGCGGTCACCTAATACAAATACAATGGCTCGATAACACTTGTTTCATTCAACTTCTGTTAACCAGAGAGGAAAAGGTAAAAACACCCCTTGTCATTCCTTTGCATATGTTTGCTGTGATGTTAATGAACATATGGTCAAACTTTGTTTTGAAATCAATGATTTTAAGTTGATATTGTGCTGATAGATTTTAAAGCAAGAATAATCTCTAACATAATGTGCTGAGAATACTGTAGGTTGTAGTTGTGAATTTGATCTGCAAACAGACAGCGTTGACAGATAATTTCAACATCATAAAAAATATTTTGACAAATAAGCAGCTGACGGATGTGTTTCTCTTCTCTTTGGACATGGCAGATGTATATGAAGGCGCTTGTTTTCAGTCTCATCTTACTAATGCAAGGTACGGTTATAAAAAAGAATTATTCTGCATCTTTAGTCTCAGTTCCTTTTGTGTCTTTTCTCTTCTTGACTGACAAACATCCTCCTCTGTAGCATGTGGACCACTTTTGGCCCAGGCAACAGAACCAGAACAACCTGACTCTACAGGACTACTGCAGAGGCTTGGAGATAGAGCCAGGTATTAAGCACTCTGCTCATCATCTGCTTGCAGTGCATTAAAGCAAACAAGATGGACTTATCTGTAAATGATTGCCAGTTAGCAGAATTGTTAACATATTGTGTTTGTGTGCAAGTCGATGAGTTTGCGTGTGCATTTTATTTATACCTTGGTCATTTATTACTTTTGCATGTCACAGGGAAACCAAAGATAAAGTCCAGGTTTTTGGGGGAGTAGTGCTGGACTACTTTGGTGCTTACTATGAAGACCACATCCAACCAGTGGCTGACAGCTACACTGAATGGGCCTCTACTGTCAAAAGCTCTGTGTTGGAGAAGATCCAGACAACCATTGACAAATACTGGCCATCAAAAGCATCTAGTTCAACTGATTAACAGACTTAAAACCAAGAAAAGCTGACAATAAATGAATATTCTTACCACATGACATTTCTACAATTCTTACCACTCACTGCTGAACTAATCATGTCTTAAGGTTTCACCAGGCATTGCTGGTTATGTCAAATACAGAAAGAGTTCAAACTAGTTTATATTAAAACTTTATATCTGGCTGCCTATGTAGTACATGTTACTGTATGGGCCAAGCTTGTCCTGCAATAAAGACAAAGAGAGAGGTAATAAGAGGGAATATTTAAAGGCAGCAATGAATACAATTATGTGAGCAGAGGGTATATTTACCAAGATACTATACATAACATAGTTTATCTAAAACATTAGAAACACATAATTTGCAGTATAAACATGAACTTTTGCTACAGATGGCATGTTCAAGGAAAGAGATGAGTTACATTCAGTTCTCCTGTTAAATAAATAAATCTTACTATTTTAATGGCACTACATGACTATGGCTGCTGCTGTGGTCAATAAGTCATTTTATCTTTATTTGGAAAAGTGCAATATAAATAAAGTTTTTATTATAATTATTACTATTTGCAGATGGAAGGAAAGAAAAACAAAGTTGGAAAAAATTGAAGACAATCTTTAAATCATTATGAAAACCTTGCATGCAGTCTGTCTCAGGGTATGAGGGTGAAAGGTCAAGGCAGAAATCCCAGAATGCATTGCTCTGGGATCAGCACAATGTATCTAGACAGGTCCTGGTTGATTGACCTGCTGAACATTTGACTCTAATATGAGTAGACATCATAAAGTGATTGTGGCTTACTGTCAAATAAATGCTGATTAGCAATAGTTAGTCTATTCAACAGTACGTTTTATTAGCAGCAGGTAACAAAACATGAATTGCTATAAAAGGTTTTTTGCCATGTATAATGAGACGTGATGATTACGACATACAGCACATGCACTATGATATTTTGCAAACACACCATTGATTTAGCATCAGCAGGAATCCAAGTGCATTGCCAAATGAATAGAGATAAACTTAAATATGGAGAACATTGCATAACTACGTCATGTTTCAACATACAGTACTTACAGTGAATATCATGTACACTGGACTTTGTTTAGGTGAACGTCTGCATGAGTGTGCATGTGCATGCAAGTGTGTGTAGGTGTGTGTCTGCTCATCAGATGACGTTTGTTTGCAGTCCCCCCCTATATCATCCTGTCCAGATGAGAGCTCCGAGTTACAGACAACTCGCTTTCGGAGAAGACTGTCATTTCTTGGATCTGTACATCCAACACAACAGCAGGTAATTACTTTTCTTAATGCAGCAGCTTCTTTCCTGAAGCGACTTCCAAATAGTTTTCACTAAAACATCTGTTTCATAAAACATTCAGGTATTTTATTTTTGCATTCAGTGTCTGCAGCCTTGTTCATCAGATGAAAAATTATAATGTCAAATATGGAAAAGAATGTTGATTCACCTGACAGAGAGTTAAATATTGTAAAGTAATTTATTGTAAAGTTTTTGTCTTTTGTTTCAGAGATGAACGCAAAATATGCCTTGGCACTGATCCTTGCTCTGCAGGGTAAGACAACATACCAATGCATTCTGAACAATTGCAGTGTATGGGTTTGATTTTCAACTAAAGCTTAACCATGATGTGACTATGTGACAGAGACTCATTTGAAGCAACTGACTCAATTTTCAGACTATCTGCAGTCCTTGTTGTAAAAAGGATATGCATTATTACAATGGTTAAAACCTGTTTTTATTGCATTCACATGTGCTGCAATAATTTAATAACCACTGTTGGGTGGCTCCTAAACTGGTTTATCTGTGGTTGACATGCAAGATAAAGACTGCTTTTTAAATAACAGTGAGCTGCTAGACAGCAGACAGCATTATAAACAGTGATTGCTGATCAAAGAAATCTGATTTTGGACACAATTACCAAAAGCGAGAAACCAAGATACACTAAGTATCTTTTCTTTGGCCCTTAAATACACATTCACACATAAACCCATAAATCGTTGCCTTGATTGTTCTTCCGATGTAATCATTTGCAAAAATAGTTCTTTCAAATTAACATCTCTGCATGTTCTTTTGACTTTTTCTCATCTGGTTTTCATTTTTATAACACTGGCTCTAACTTTACGATCGTACCATTCTGATTTCATTCCAGTCTCCATGAGCATGTGTGAAATTCCCGCACCATCTCAGGAACTTGTTGAAAAGTATGATCAGATGAAAAGTGTGTTCTACCAGAGGCTGCTGACTGCTTACGGCAAGCTGCAGGCCGCCGCTGCTCCTTATGTGGAGACAGTCGGTGACAGCGAGCGTGGACAGAAAGCCAAAGACTTTATTGAGGAACTGCAGACCAAGCCTGAGTTCCAAGCTGCTGTCAAGGTTGCCAGGTGAGTGAAGAATTGTTTCACTGTCACTTTCAGGGGAAAAGTCTCAACTGCTAATGTTAAGAAATGTATCCACTTCAGCAAATCTGTAAATATGCTTTGGAATAGTACTAATATTATTTTTCACAATTTCTATTGAACATACACAGAGATGAATCATCAGTAATGAATCTTTTCATCCTGGAAATGTCTTTAAATAATCTCTTTTCTGTGATTTGTGCAGTGGTCTGGCCTCAGAGACTGGTCCCCTTGTGGACCAGGCACGTACAGCAGCGCTGGGTCTGTATGAACATTACCTTCGTCCCCACGTTGGTGACTACCTGAGCCGCGGCATCGACCACATCAAGACCCACCTGGACGTATATCTGCCCACTCAATAAAGAAAACCAACTGGACCACCCACCTCTCAGCAGCCTGTAATAGATGATAACTCATAGAAACTATACCAGTTTAGGCTGAGAAGAGCAATGCACAATGCAAATACAATCCTTTGCATCATTTCAAATAAACATCCTTTGCCAAATCATGCAGAGTTAAAAGTAGGGCAAACATGTCAACACAACCTATGCAAATTGTGCATGTACAGTATCCTTTGTTTGATACACTAACCAAAGTGTGATTGTGTATGTATATGTGTGAGTGTGTTCATTAAAGTGAACTGGAAACTATTTGGAATGTGCTTCTTCATTAAGGGACTGAAGGTTTACTTCCACAGCTAATATTGCAAAGTTAAATTTTGTGCAGTGTTATATAATTATAGTTTTACATTTGAATTAAGCTATAAAAAAAACTCCACATCTTATTTTGTAGCTGCATAAATGAAGATCATTCAATCAAATGTTATGGAACTGTTAGGTTTATAAGATCAGCTGCCGCTTTTATCAAATTGGAACTGTAATTGAATGTTTTACACTAGTAAACACATACACTAATGATAAGACATTCATTTTTACAAATTACATTTTGGCATCTTTATTCTGAAGAGAGCTGTTAGATTGCAGGCTCAGTTTGGGCCCAGTAAGTCAAAGGTTGTCCCCAAAATGGAAATAGATTATGCCAGCAAGCTGTGTATTCCTATACTATAATAATTAATGTGTCTCACTGATCAGAGTATAAAACCCATTGGATTATCCCTCCAAAAGTATTATTTTCTTGAAATGAAGGTGTTGAAAACAACTTTCGAGTGATGTTCAAGTGATCTCAATGAACCACAACTCACTGAAGATATTCTTTTATTTATTGTTAATGGATGTTCCCCAGGAGGCTAAGCCTGAGGCAATTTTAAATGATGGCATGATGTGCAAGAGCAGCCGGATGTGCTCATTTCACACTTTTTAAACCTTTTTAGCATTTCGATGAAATATCCCTACTGTGTTATTACAGTGTTCAAGACATGTTATGAAGACAACAGACCTGATATTATGTTATCCTGTAAGCATCGACAGTACCATTTTGCAGCTTAACATTGTCTGATTAGATTCAGCACTGAATCAGCTGGATCTTAGCAAAACAGCAAGCTCTCTGACAGTTTGAATCCTACTGCTGCCCGCAGCTGTCCTCGAACTGGCCTAAGCTCTCAGGTCATGAGCAGCATGACATGTGAGGCTGGATCACACGATTGGCTGGGATGTTTACATAGTACTCAATCAACATGTAGCCTTTACAGAGAAAATTACTTCTAAAACCCAGACACATGAGCTCAAAACTGAGACTTTACCGTAACTCTTTGTAATTGTACACAATGAGGAACACAGACAGCAGGGACACTAATAAAAGTCTTGTGCTGAAGTCTAGATGAAAATGATGTCCTTAAGTCACAGAAACCTAAAGTCTTTGTTCCGTAGGAAATTTTTTCCCTCTGTGATTTTCACAAAGAATGTTTCAGTTTAGCTCAAACAAACAAACAATCACACAACTTGTGTGATTGTTGATCACACAACTGTGTTCAAATGATCTCCCATGGTGGCAAGCAAAAAGCCGTTTGCATTTATTAATCAGAGCAAAAATTTTTACCTTCAATATATAACCAAAACCTCAAGGCTAAAAAGGATAAAAAACAAACAACTAAAGAATAAACAAATTTATTAAAATCACACCAAAAGAATCAAAATACCTTTGGACATACAAAATACAAAATATTATTCAAAAGAAATAATTAATATCAGCACACCACAACAACAACAGAAAATAAACAGAACCAAACAGTCTGCCCTTTATACTCCCAGTTTCATTTCAAGTCAAATCACAAGAAGAAGAAAAAAACTTTATTTTCCACTTGCACTCGCCAGCAAAAACGTTTTTTTCTCCATTTCTGATTACGAACCCACTGATGAGTAGAAGTTGCTCGGGGATCTTTTACACTAACAAATGCAAGAGGCTCAAAGAGGCTTCCCCTCAAAATACCAATTACTTAAAAAAAACTTCCATAAAAAAAGATCTGAAAGTGTTGGCCTGATGACGTGTTCGACACACTCTAAACTTACGACCATCTTAAAAGGACTTAGGACTATTGTAGTGTGACATGACCACCACATCACCAGCATTATGCAAGCATCTCCGTATGGGTGTTGTGGACAGGGTAAGGAGTTAAGAGTGTGCTGCATTAATGAACTACTAACCTAATCAATGGAATATAACTGAATGTAGTGACACACATATAGAGTTAGTGGAACCTGTACCACCATGATGCCCCAGTCAGCTCCTGTGCTTAGAAAATCAAATCAGACTAAATTCCTAAGTAGCTTTTGATTACGTTTAAAGCCCCTTTTGATGCTTCATTCACATCCTTGTGTTAACATAGATAGCCATAATGTTTTTTTTCATCAAGACACATATCACACACTCCCTCAATACATAGCAGTCAACATCACAGGTTTATCTACCAGAGTGCACTTTGGCTCTGGGAGCGACAAGTCAACACATTGCTCCTATATAAGCAGGTTGGGCCAGTGGTGCTTCTTACTGACATTCATTACTGGAGAGGAATACAGTGAGTACTTACATTTTTACATCTATTGTTGAATGGGACAGAGTGTAACAGTCTTAGAAATGCTTGAATATTGATTTAGACATCAGAACATTTGAAAGAAAACATTTTGAGATGCATTTAAAAACTTTTGTTTCCATGCTAGATAAGTAAAAACAAATCTAAACAGACTCTCCATTCATCTGCAGTTAATATCGACACAAATCTATCATCTAAACGAGTAGAGAAATGTATGACAATGTCTCACCCTAGTGGATAAAGCGAGGCAAGCTTTGAATGTATTTTTATTCTTTTTCCTCGTAGACTCGAGTGACACCATGAATAAGCTGCTAGTCATTACTGTGCTGGTTGCACTCCTTGCTCTCAGTAAGTGTATTGTAAGACCATGAAATTGAATTTAGAACAGGATAAATTTATAGTGGGAAAATACAGTGTTTTCCCAATTACATGTGGTACCCTTTGACCCCTCTGACCTGTTTTGTGCAGGCGCTGAAAGCTTCCGTGTGCCGAGGCAGGCTGAGGAGGAGCAAGGCACCCTGACCAAGATCACAGACAGCGTCAGGTCCTACTATGACTATTTCGTCAACTCTGCCAGTGATTACATAGAAAGCATCAAGGGCCTGAAGTTGGAGGAGAAGGCAAAGTAAGATATTTTAAATGCAGATTCATTAACACAGTATAAGAAAGTGTGGATTTTAAACTCTTCTCTTTCTGTGAATTTCCCACAGGAATCTTTACTCTGATACTACCACGGCTGTGAGCACATACTCTGGCATTTTGCACGACCAGTTGTACCACATCTTTTACCACCAGCAGTAAACAAAAACTGATTTCCAATTAGCTCAGCTACCCTTTCTGACAGCCTGACATCTTTCAGGCTTCATGCGAAAGGCCCAAACATCATTTGACATTGTGAACTTGGTCATATCTCACCTCACCCAAGCCTCAAAACCTCAAACAGCATCTTCAAAAATAATGGACCCTGTGCTCTTTGTGACGCTTTCTCGGGCCACTGCATTGGTGGTAAATGATGATAACCACTCAATGGGGACTGTAATCTTAATCTTGAAAAAACAAGTAACAGCTTGCACAGAGAAACTGGAAGGACCATTTTGGCGGGCACAAGCAATGGAGCACACAACACCTTTCATGTACTGATGAATTTCTCAGTGGTTCTCCGAATAAAAACAACTAGCCATGAAAATAGTGGAAATAATTTAATGATCTATCGCCACCTACTGGTATTTCCATTTCCCTATAGCTGACTCTAATGGTCATCCCACCTCTGAATAAATTTAAATATTTGTGTAATATCTTCAAATAAAATATTTATACAAAAAACCCTGGGTGTCTGTGGTTGATAAATGAAATTCAGGTTTACTGTTTGATAAAGCAAATTGTGTATATTTCTCCTGTCTTTTTGTGTTAGACCTATGTTTCCTTTTATCTCACTGATGCAAGGGTGCACGTGTTTATGTCCGTATGAATCTGCAATGAGGCCCCAGACTTGTATCAGTGGAGGCAGCGCCAGAACAGAGGCTTCTGTTGCAATTAATAATGGATGAAAAGAAACAACATGTAAAATGTGAACGCAGAGAAGCTGGCAGAGATGAATAAACAACACAGACTGTGAAGTTTGTTTTGTGGATTCTGACAACCAGTGATGCGAGGATGTTGTGATTTTTAATTAATGCATACATCTACAACATGTGGCCCTCTTCTGAAGCTACAACCAACATAAACAAAAGACATAAATTTGCTTTCATGTATAATGTTGTTTAGTTGTTACAAAAGATGAATACTGTACCACACAGAGACAGGACAAACTACTCACTGTGTGTATTTTAAGGACGTTGGTATTCTAATACGGTACTTGTGAAAAATCACTAATGCTGTTACTATACACACAAATAATTTAGATGTAGTGCCATGTGGAGATCCTTGTGTTGGCAGCCCTGTTTTTGTAATCAGGTCTGTTCAGACTGGACCAATTTGAGAACAACTGCATTCTGTATTTGGTATTAAGAATTTGTCTCAAATGTTTTCTGTCAACTGACAGCTGTGATCAGATTTGGCATTGACACTAATATGATTGAATCTGTGGGCATCTGCCACTGATGCAAAACAGAAGAAAAAAACAAAACAAATTCTCTACATCACAGAAAGAGGACTGCTCTGGCAATCAGAGATTATTGTTTCACTGACTTTATATTTTACAAATGTGGTCTGATCAATTAGATTCCAATTTCAGATTGGATTTGGGTGCATTTACATATTTATTAAGTGATGTCCAGCTATCCAATTTTAATTCTTTTAGAGCTGTCTCACCTATGGGATGGCATGAAAGGGATGGCACTTACATTGAGTGGGGCTGGGAGGAGCCATGTGTTCTATGGATGGGTTTTGCTGCACCCGGTCCCTGTGAGGAGGTATAAATGTATGTATGAGTGAGTTGATATTGCCAGTTACATTAATCAACATTATATTGCTTAAATCGAAAAAAAAAATGATTAGAATAGAATAGTATAGAATAATGTGACTTACAAATAATGTTCACTCAGTTTTGTAGCAATCGATGATAAAGAAGTTGAAAGTGTGTCATCACGCCAAGTGTCTCTTCCTGTATGCAATACAATCAATTATGTTATATAATTAAATCTTATGATTCTTAAGTGGTGTATTTCCATTTCAGTGAAAAGAATCCAAAACAATTTCAATTTCAAAGAGCAAAAATCCAAACTTCAGTGCAGAGAACAGCAGATCTACTGCTCCCCATCTTCTTCACCGTCTTTTTTTAAGTCTTTGAACAGATAAGTACTTTATGAAGAACGCAGTGATCACTCAGTGTCAACATGCTTACAGACCGGGTTATTCCACTAGCACTGTTCTTGTTCATATGACAGATAACCTGTTCAAAGAAATTGATGACAGCAAATTAGTAGGAGTCTAGTGATCAGTCATAATTTGCTGTTTGCCAAACTTAAATGCTATGGTTTTACACCCTCTCTGATAACAACGTATCTATCTGGCAGAACAAGTAAACTTTTTTTTTTTTTTACAAATGATTTGCCATTTTACAAAGAAAGCTTCTGTTGTTGACATGCAAATAACTTGATAGTATATTACTTACTCCACACATTATTGTCATGACTTAAATTACGAGTTGAATTACATGCAGCGTGTGACTGTCAATGAAAACAATATGTTTTAAACATATCTATGTTTAAATAAATGGTTATTGGAAACTGGAAATGATCTAACACTTTGCAGCTCTGCCTTTCTGTACAAGGCTTCAAGCTGCATCAAGTTGATCAGATCATATTATAAGGAGTTTGATCAACATACATCTTGGTCACTGCATATGACATTGCTATAAGCAGGAACTGTTCTCCTTTTGTCAATCCAGTTACAAGTGTAATTAAATCATTAGTGTTGTGTCATTTTCAGTATTGTTCAGTGGTCTGCTGCTAATAAAAAGTATCTCAATAAACTTTAATTTGCTCAAACTAAGGCTGCTAGACTTCTCTGTTGTTCAAAGCATACTAGTGTGAAAGGCATAAAAGAAATGCCAAATTACATATCTAGTCTGCTTGTTTTCATTTGGGGTCAAATTGGATTGATTTGGGGTCAATCTGGAGTCGTTTAGGTATAAATTTAGTCAATAGCGTCCACAAAACATATGATCATGTAAGAATTCGACCAGTTAACCAGTTGTTCCTAAGCCAGAGCAACACAATTTGGACTTCAGTCAATGAAATCACAAAAACTGAACTCATGAAATGTTTACCAGTTTTGCAAGGGTACCACCACCTGAATTTAAAAATGATTTTTAAAAGTCACAATATTTTTGGTAATCTAGTTTCCTAGAAGGGCAGTCGGACTTGTGCAATCTGTAATATTTTAAGACAAGCCTTTTAAAATTGCATCATGGTGAAATATTAACTTTACAAACAGCCTAACGCCAGGCATAATAGCTCGATTCTTATCTCCTTTATTATTACTTGTAGAGCTGCAAACGCTTCGTGACACGATTGATCATTTTAGAGTGCACTTAGCACAGACAAACCATAATAAATGGTTTTAATATAGCCCACTAAGCCCACACACAGCAGATTTTTGCTAGTTTTCAATCTATGACAAAGACACTTCACCACAGCACAAAAAATGTATCTGTGATCCAAATATGTCTGAACAATATCTGTCATATACCATCAATTAGGATCTTCTTACAGGTTACTGTAAACAAGGTATAACTGAAGGTATTGCTGAGCAGAAATGTTAAAAACTGATAAGGTTATTACAAAGGTTACGACTGAACTGGAAATGATACTCGATAGTAATAAAGGTGCCTGTTCCTCCCACTGTCTTCTAAAAGCTTGCAGATATAAAGAAGCCAGGATAATCCAATCAGCCATCACATACTCCCAGTGCTACAGAATAACACTACAAAAACAGTGTAGATACAGCATGAATCTTTTCCTTCTGGTGGTTGCTTTTGGGCTTGCAGGTAGATATTTACCATGTTGTGTCTAAAATAAAATAAATTAATATCAGAATAGACAATTAGTTAAAGACTTTGCTCTCGTTGTAGGAGCGTCTCCGCTGGAGGACTCCAAGGTGTGCCAGCCTCACTCCAGACCCTGGCAGGTCTATCTTCATGGTGGAGAAGGAATGTCCTGTAGTGGAGCTCTCATCAACGAGTGGTGGATAGTAACCTCCTTGAACTGTGCACCCACGTAGGTACAGGTGACTGCTAAAGGCAAGATTTTTGTGTGTCTTGTTCCAGTGTGTTGAGATGTTTTTATGACTCAGACTTTTTTCCCTGGCTATGGTGCTTGATGTTGTACTTTGTTAGAAAGAACCATGTATTACTCAAACCTAGGTTTATTTATTTTTAATTTTTTACCTTAAATTCAATTACTGCAGCCATTTCAGCAAGATCTTCAAGCTTAAGTTTTTTGCCCCAACTGTTTTTCTGAAGAAATTAAAAGCAGAACATCTAATACATCTTAGTAAATTATGGCAAGAGACATCATAATATCTGTCAGATGATTCAATCATCCAGGCATGAAGAGATGTGTCTTAGTACTTCTAGGGTATTCAGTGTTTTAAAATCTAACTATTGCTAGCAGAACCACTTCAAACTAAACCCCATTTATTAAACCACTGTTCATGCCTGTTTAAGGCTCACTGTTCCTCTGTCCTCTGTTTCTGCCTGAGGCCTGAAAAGTCTGCCTGGGCTCAATAAATTACAGTCCCTTTTTCCCTGTCCATCCAGATCCTACAGCACCATTGCTTCTCTTGGTGAACATGACATGAAGGTGGAGGAGGGCACTGAGCAGCACATTTATGTTGCTGATGTAATCATTCACGATCCCTACCGCACATCTCTGCACAGCCTCACGATGGTCCGCCTGGCCGAACCTGCCCGCTTCACCCAGGACATTCAGCCCATCCCTCTGCCCAGTCGCTGCCCACAGCCTGGAGAGACTTGCTATGTTAGCGGCTGGGGATCCATCCCAAATAAATGTAAGTAGTACAGAGAACTGCATACAGCGTTGGAGGCAGGTTCATTCCTATGAAAGCTGGTCAGTGGTGCATGAAGCCCAAAAAAATTTGACTTCTGGAATTAAATTGACCCGGTGCTTCTGTATTGTGTGTTCCCTACCTTTTTATAAAGGGTACAGTCTACGGTTCCACAGGAGAAAGTATACTGGTGTTTCCTTTAACCCCGCCCCCCTTTGCCATGAGTAAGCTCACCAGAGACTTCTGCCTGCGAAGCCAGCAAACATCTGGCTTTTCTCTCTGCTAACTTGAATGGGGATAAAATGATTTAATCTTGTGGCGCTTCTAGACTTTCTAAATGTTATCAGACCAAATGGATCAAATTCTGATGGAAAACATTAGTCATCTTGTGATGGTTGTGATGCTCAAGTGTTTTACTGACACTTCTTAGAATGTAGGTTTATGGAAAATGTATTTTGGGGCCAGTGTGGTGGACCTGTAAGTTGTAATTCCACAATTTGGCCACTATGTTAAGGTTGGCTTGAAGGGTCTGGGCTGAAGCCTCGAGTTTGACATTTGGCTGTCACCATCATGGTTTTCTGGAGCCAGAAGTGGCCATATTTGAGCGAGAGGGTGGAACTGGGGAGAGCTACAAATTGCTATGCCTCTATCAGGATTGACAAGTTGCCACAGTAGTGACTTGTCAATCACTAGGGAGCCCTGTCCTAAAGCATCCACTGCTTTATCGTCCAATTTAATTTACATGGGACCATAATTTACTAAATGAACATCATGCTGTCCTACTAAAGAAGACTTGAAACCATAGAATGTGCATCACTCATGTGTTTCTAAACAGCTATTGTGAAGCTCAATGTGGGCACCTTCCGGCGGCTCTGGCCATCGCTATCTTTGCATTGCCTGACTCTGGCTAATCCAAAAATAGAGAGGTGGAGCAGAGGCAGGCCAACTGAAGCTTGGTTTTTGAACAACCTAGTGGCCACATGAGAGGACACCCACCTGTCACTCAAAGTGGCCACGCCCTTAATTAGGCTAACATTAAGCCTTAATATAATTTAAACAGATGAGTTAAATAATTATAAAAATTCACCCCACATACAGTTATCATGAAGGGGGAAATTAGTTAGAGACCAAAACCGTTTTTTGTACCGGGCTGTAAACATGATTATTTCTGCTGTAAAGTTGGACATTTTAACATCGGAGTTTATGGGGATTGACTTGCTTTTGAAGCCAGTCCCGAGTGGCCATTTCATAAACTACAATTTTTAGCACTTCGCGTTGGCTTCATTTTTCAACCCCAGATGCTGTTGCTTGCTTGAAACAAGCGTTTGAGACCATAAAATCATTAGGAAAATGTTTACTGAGGTAATAAATCAGAAGAGAAGTAGGGTCATTTTCTCATAGACTTCTATACAATCTGACTTATTTTTGCAACCAGTGGCGTTGCCCCCTGCTGGACATTAGAAAGAATGCAGGTTTAAAGCACTTCTGCATTGGCTTCACTTTTCAGACCCGGAGGCTACATCCAGTGCTGTTATACAGTCAATGTCACCGCCTTAGAATTAAGTATAACTGCAGCAAAGCCATTGTTCCTTTATCCACTCCACAAGCATTCCCCTGATTTTTAAAAAAGGCTGAGAACATCAAAAATACATTCCATTCATCTAAAAACCTAAAACATATGGACAGAAGCCCCTAACTATTATACCATTAGAGGTTACTGGGGAAATTGTAACTTTACCAGTATTTGGGTCAACTAACCTTTTAAATAGCCCACGAGGATGCAGTGTATTTGAGGGCAAAAAAGTTAATTTGTGCAACACATGACATCCCACAACACAATAATACCCCAAATAATTGATATACATCACATCATGTAGCCTACATACACATACATCATGTGCATCCTTATTCACATTAGGGGTGCAACAACTAATTGACCTCCAGAGTGTGGCAGCATTTCAATCTTCACTCAGCCAGAAAGGTCGCGAACTGCAGCAAAGCTGAGCTCTCATGGAAACACTGGAGCATCTGAAGAGGAGGCGCGTAATGTCGTGTCTCTGTGGATGATTATGCTAGTTCGCAAGCTAGCTTCACGTTAAAACCGTGTTACTTCATGTTACGAGCTGAAACGTTTTCTATACAGTATACAGTAGCACATAATTATGATACACAACAACATCATCATTCACACAACACAAGATAACTAGACAAGAGTTTACAGCCATGCAAGCGGCTCTGTGAGACTGTACTTTGGTACAGCAGTGCTTTAAGCTTAATGCTAATTGTAGCACGCTAACGTGCTTACAATGACAATGCAAAGCTTACTATTAATAATGATTACTGTTATTATTATTATTATTATTATTATTGCACATCATCCTGTGGGGTTTCAGAGATTTATGCTAAACCAAATTATCATGACGCAAGTACCCGCGCTGCTGTAGACTGTATTCAGAAAGTAAACGTTTAATTTTGTTAAAATCACAAAGATTTCAATTTATGAAGACCCATATTGTTTTCATCTTTTAAATGGAGCTCTATCGCACCACTAGTGAGGTTAAGTGTGTAATATTTATGAGGATCTATTGACAGAAATGCAATATAATTGGCAACTAATAACTATGTTTTCAGTGGTGTATAAAGACCCGTTTTTTTTATTACCTTAGAATGAGCCATTTCAATCTACATACACCATGTGTCCTCCTATATGGCCGTCGCCATGTTGTGCCTGCCATGTTTCTACAGTAGTCCAAACAGACAAAAGGCGCTACAGAGCTTGTTACGTCACTACGTTGAATACATACGAAGAAGAGGAAGAAGAAGTAATGCTAGTAGTAGTAGTAGTCGTTTGGTTTATTAGAAGTAAGAAAAGAAGAGAAATTTGGACAAATGGAGGCCTACACATATTATTTGTCACAAGAGCAGACAGAGCATGTCGGCCACCATATCTTCTCCTGCCTGCTTGGAATGGGACGGGGCAAGTGGTGACTGGTGCTTTCATGTGGTGTCAGAATAATCAGAATATTCTTTTCCTCCTTAAATCTTTGTTGCAAAAAGAGAAATGAACTGTACATGGGACATAAAGAAGTATACAGAACTTTGATTTCGTGCAAAATCACATATTTTGCAAACATGTAATTTGTAATATGGTTATGGTTATGGTAATATGGGGTGGTGGTGGTGCATAGATAAGATGCTTGCCTTTGGTGTAGGAGACCTGGTTTCAATTCCCACTGTGAGACATCCACCAGAGGCGTGCGACCTCTGAGATGTATAGCAATTGTACGTCGCTTTGGATAAAAGTGTCAGCTAAATGAATAAATGTAAAGGTTGTAACGGTTAGTTTGCTGTCTATGTAGAGTGAACTAGATGTCTGCGTGTTGTTTATATGCTCTGATAATGCGTCCATGTTGATTCCGACTTAAGAGCAAATGAACACACACTGAAGTCCGAAGAACAACTTCGGAAATGGGACCATCCGAGGAGCAATTGAATACACTTATGAACCGCTAGTTGCAATTCACAACACTCACCACTAGATGCCACAAAAACTTACCTACTGAACCTTTAAATAGGATTTAAAAATTTGAAGACTCAAATTAGTTCTTATATAGTGCTCTTTTAAACAAATGCACATGGAGTGGTGCAAGGGAACATGTAGCACTCACCTTTCAGCAGGAAACATGCATCAGACATTTAGGCAGAAAGAAATACAACATTATTACTTTTTTTTATTTTGACCATGACTTAGGGGAATGTTTGATTTTGATCAGCACGTACTTGCATAAAAGCTAATAAATATTCTGGTCATTGCAGCTCTAACAAGGCATGAACATTCTGTTTTAATAACAGCTAAAAATGGCTTTCTTTAATCAGAGCAGTTTCTAATTGCCTGTCAAAATGCCCAGTCAGTGATCAAGACTAATTAAAAGAGTTAGACCTTGAAAATAGTACTTATTCAAGGTTTAGACGTTATGCTCCAGTGAAAGAAGTGGTAATGCATAAAAATGGGAAGTAATCCATAGACCTACTGAGGGGAAGGAAGGATGCTTTTGTCAAAGAATGAGTGGCATATTGATGAGTATGGTACAGAATATGTCACAATGACTAAATTGTACTTATGTTACAGATTCCGATGAGATCTCAATGATTTTAAGTACTTGGTTTAAATGAATCAGAATAATAACCCACCTTCTTCTTCTTCAAAACAGATAAGCCTTCTCAACACCTGAAGTGTTTAACTGTGCCTGTTGTGGATGACCAGACTTGTATGAACACATTCCCAGAGGTTTTGCACTGGAACACGAACATGGTCTGCGCTGGTCAAGCAAACACAGATAACTGCATGGTGAGCGTCTAAAGAAATCAGTGTGCTGTATTTCTTGCCTCTACCTCTGTTGTGTCATTTAATCTAACCTGTCATCTGTGACGCTTTCCTCATCCTTCCTCCCTGCCTCCCACTGTACTGTATAATAGCATTTTCTTTTAATGTTAACCCACTTATGAGCATACATTTCCCATAAACAACCACAACAGAGTCTGCTATTCTCTCCCATCTGTCCAGTACGATGGTGGCAGTGTGATGGTGTGCGATGGCCAGCTGCAGGGTCTGCAGTGGTTCAATAATGGCTGCATAAACCCAGCTGACCCCACCGTCTACACCAAGCTCTGCAAGTACAATGACTGGATCAACTATGTGATGGACCAATACGCGCCAACTGAAACTACTCCAGGGAAGATGACATGAGGCTGCAAAGAGACATTTGCTCACAGATTAAATGTAAACACTATTATAAATGTTGCTCCTGACCACTTTACTGGGAAGGTTGAGTGATATAGAAAATTATGCTCAAAGCCAGCACTATTGCATTTAATGAAAATGATACTCTAGGTAATATTAACTGACTTATGAACATTATGCAGCAGTCTCAAATGCAAATACTCTGCTAAAAAAAGAAGCAGTGAAGAAAAGACATCTGTATGCAAACTCAAAAATATAAACAACATCAAAAAATGTCATGTTTTATTCATGTGTTTTAGCACACCTTTACTCTGTGATTCCTCATTTTTCCTTATTTATCCCGGCAAACTGTTTCTACAGCTGGCTAATAGCTGCTACTAATTAGCTCAGATTGTTTTCACAGTAGATCATAATTTCACACATGTCGCTGTTTTGACAGTGACGGTTTATTATTGGTTTTGTTGCACATGTTGATCACTAAAACCACAAAATCTTGCTCAAAAGAGAGTGAATATCAGAAACATGAGTCCAAATAAAATATAATGTTGCTCCATTTACTGTGTAAATAGGGAACTGTTTCTGACTCTAACAAGTCGGTCATATCAGTTTGACATGGTAATAATACTGCCTGCCTGTCAAATAATACAGCATTTGATCTTTTAAAACTTAAAAAAAAAAATTATGTAACTTGGTCAAGATAGATAAAATTGGCAAAGTGACCATTATGTTTTACAAGGGTAGTTGCCATTATACAGATAGTAAAAATGTTATTTTGGAATGAAACTACTATTCACATATTTTGTAAAAATTTGTAATAGTGAAATGAACTTAAGACATATAGACTGACCCTAGTGATGAGGTGTGCCTGGGAATGTAAAGGGTATGGAGCATAACGTGAAGCACCACTAGATGGGGGTAAAGCCCAATAATAAAGACACCAATAATAAAGACACACATTGCGCTAAAGTCCCAGAGAGAGAGAGGAGGGGGGGGGGGGATTAGTGACAGTGTGGACAGGTGACATGCATCTGACATTCTTTGTGTGAAGTCTGATCTGAGATCTGAGCACTGCCATGACACCAGTATGTTTGCAAAAATATGTTACAGCAATAAACACATGGATCTAACGTACAATTACAGAGACACACTAAGTACAAAGAAACTACAGAACAGACACTACACACACACACACACACACACACACACACACACACACTTACATGCTAAGTGACTGACAGCTGTGTCTATAATCACCCAGGCAGCTGAACATAGGGGCCACTCTGCCATCTGTTCTCTGCATTTCTCTCCTGTTCTTACCTCCTCTCCCCCTCTTCTCCCACCTCAGCAGGAGACAGAAAGCAAACCGAGGGGCTGACTTTGGTAACTGGGATGTCACTTCAGAAAGCAGTGTGGTATTAATTGGTGTGTGTTTGAGGGATGCTGTGGATAGCCATTGTTAAAAATTCTGGGGGATTTGACTGAAACTAATTTAATTCAGTAGCAACAGTGTCAGCAATTTCTAGGTTTTTTAATAGATACAATACATACTTCACTTATTACCTCAGGCAGGATACCAAATGAGCCTGAAATCCTGTGGGATACCGCCCCCCCCCCCCACCAGCAATTACCATTTGGTCTCTGCAGATTGTTATGACTTGTAGTATGTGGTCAAACTCCCTCCAAAGAGTCTAAAGCATCTCCCTAATAAATTCCACCTGAAACCTCCGGTAATTTAAATGGGTTATCTTGTGTGCTTCTGCAAACACCACAGCCCATTTCTTCTGTGTAATTTCTAGCTGGAATTCAACCTTTCATTTCCACTGCAAATAAAGTTAGCCAAAACCATTAAATAAGGTTGATATAGTGATATAGAGTAGGAGATGTCTGAGATATAACATAACCATACTAGAGTCTACAGTCCTGCTAGTGGCCCTGTGAGTTTGTACACGGTGGTGTTTTGTGCTAAATGCTAATTTTAGCATGCTAACATGCTCACACTAAAAAAACGGGTGTCGTAAAAAAATCTGGGCCCTGTTCATAAGCATTCTCTATGGGCCCCTACTTGCATCCATGATTATTTGTTCTAGTATCTTTGGGCCCTCCACACATGAGGATGTACCACATTCACTTCACATTCAAGTTAGCATGAAAAGATTTGCTAAGACATTTGATGGGAATGTTATTAGTTTTGCTGGTATTAATGGCCATAACCAAATTATTGGTTAAATTAAAATGTTAACCAAATGGTGGTACTAAAGAAAATTAAGGGATCACCAATGAAATCAAAATTCATCTCGAGATATACACGATTGTCTGCACCAGATTTTGTCGCAATCCATGCAATAGTTGTTGGGACATTTCACTCAAAATCACAAATGACAACTTCTTGGTGCCACTACAGAAAAAGTCAGCTGATCAGCGAAGTCTTTAGGATATTGTCTGGGGTCCATGAATGTCTGTGCCAAATATATTGTGGATATATTTCAGTCTAAACCAAACCAAACTGACTGAGTGACATTGCCATCCTTAGAGCCACACTGGCTAAAAACTAGGATTTATGTTATAAATACTTTACAAAGGTAGGTAAACAAATTAAAAGGGTTTATTAACTGACTTCAGGAGGAATTGTCATCCACTACATCAACATTTCTCTGCTTAATGGCCGAAAAGGAAGGCAAAAACAAGTATCTTACTTTATATACCAATAACAAAACAATGTTGGTGTCTTGACAAGTGGCATAGTTTTTCTAAAAGAGACAGAAAATTTCAAAATGACACCTTGTTTTTTTTGCCCTGTAGGGGTCAGGTGCACCTTACTAAGCTGCCACTCAGAATTTAATGGACCAACACGAACACAAGTTATAGACATAAGGTGACCTTGGTGGTCTGAGGGCTTTTTATGCCCTGGAATAAATTCTAGACACAAATCTGACTTTGACTAAGCTACTCTTTGTGTCTCCATTTTTGTTTCTTTCTCTTAGCTACAATATGCTTACATGTATTAATGGTTAACCATCACTTCTTTCCTTCCTACCTCACTCCCTGCTTCCAACATCCTGTAAATTATTTCCCAATTTCTAAATGTCCTCCCTTGTTCCTCCTTTCTCTTCTGGCTTTCATAACTCACGAATGCATAACACAGCCCACATTGAAAACAAATATCATCCACAATTGCCCAAACATCGTGGCATAAACTGATTAATGAGGGAATTAAAATGAATGATGATCCATAGGGGGAAATCTTTTTTCCTGGGGTGTGACAGTGCTTATCAGTGGTTGGTACAATATCTTTAGAGTAAACGCGAGGCATCTCCCTCCCTTCTTCCTCCTCCCTCCATCGCTCCGTTTCTCTGGCAAACTGTCGCCATCACTCATCGTCGGCGTACATTCCCAGCATTCCCCTGTGGCACCTGGCTCATGAGAGTGGAAAAGTGACGAACACACAACCATATGCACATTCACAAACAGGGTGAAGTGCACACTGCAAAAACACTCTCACACTCATCCCACATCGTACACTTTTTCTTCCAAACAACTGACAGCTCTTTTCACAAAGATGTAAATGAATATGGGAAGCTGACTTACATTAGCACCAGCCTGTGCACGTGTGTGTCTGTGTGGGTATATACTGTATGTGTATACTGTATGTGTGTGTGTTTCGGTTCACTCAGCTAATGGCTTGTTGGGAATAGCACAGGCCAAGTCAATCATACTGGATCTCTCCCCATCGTCCCATTGAGACCTGTGGCTCATCAGGGGAGATAATTAGCCTGAAGAGCTTTAATGATAGTAGCCTAATAGCTACAAGAGCACACTGAGAGGCAGCAGTGTGTACATGTGTGTATTTGTGCATGTATATGTGGGATGCTGTGTGTGTAAAGGGGACGAAGGTGTCTCTGGCAGTGAGTGATTAAAATCCTGTTTCATTAATACATGTGCTTATAAGAGTGAGTTTGTGTGTGTGTGTGTGTGTGTGTGTGTGTGTGTGTGGGGGGATAATATGGAAGATGGGGTAATAAAAAATACTGAATATTATGGCTATCAGTCTCCAACATCACCCACCCACCCACCCACACACCCACACACCCACACACACACACACACACACACACACACACACACACACACACACACACACACATACACACACACACACACACACACACACACACACCCCATCTCTCACTCAGTTTTCTCCCACTCCCTCCATCATAGTTAGCATTACAGAGCAGTGAGTTCGCTCACACTCGCTGCATAATCCAACACACACCCAACATCTGAGATTGTGTCTGTGTCTGTGTGTGTGCGTGTGGGTTTGAGAGACAGGAAGAGATAGAGGTGGTATTATGCATTCATATTGGAAATTGCTGTGATTTTAAACGAGCATGTGCACTTTGGTGGACACATGATGTTTAGTAAATGCAGTCACAAAGTACATTGCGGTGCCATGAGTGCATGCATACTGTATAGGGGGGTGGGCACAATAATGGGAACATTGTACACTACACACACAAGCTTCACTATCAATACATCAACACAACATTGACCATAGGGCTACACTGACTCTTCTAACCCAGTTTAAACATAAAAAAAGAACAATATGAATAATACTTATTGTATTGTGTCCAGCTGTACACATAATACTGTATCCACATACTGTTTTTTTGTGTGACACATATTTTTAGTGAATGTTTTCATGTTCACAGTTGACTTGAATAATTTCAATTTCAAAGCACAACAGAACACAAAACAGCAAATTCACATACAAACAAAACTAATAATTAACATTAATTATGCTAATTTTGAGAGTATTCAGAGTATAAAAGCCCACAACACAGACAAACATCATCCAAAATCAAACAACCATGCCCAGTGGGCCACTCTAGAAACTGCCTTTAAAATTTGACTTATAGAGAGTGAGAGTTATCATTTACATTGGTTTAGATTTCTTTCTACCTTCAAGTGCAAGTTTACTTTTGCAGTCCACACTTTGATTTTGTGATCCAAGTGGGAATGAAGGTTCTTCTGTGCCACACAAAGGCCTTTACAGAGAAGGGATAGAGAGAATACACACTCAAAATGTCTCCAACACACACTCACACGCAGCACAGACACACACGTGCATTTCAGTAATGGCTTTCTCAAAAAGGGGCCATAGCTACAAAGTGGTAAACCCCACAGGGAATCCATTTGCCTTCCATTGCAATCATCACACATTTCTCTAAAAACACCATAGACTGGCACCGTTGCCATGGATACACATCGCAGCATCGT